AAAACTCATTTCATGCGTTTTCTGGCAAAAAATGTAACACCTGATTATGAGCCGTATTTACACATAAACAAGAAATCCATTGAGAGTGTTGAAACTATGAAATTCTTGGGAATACCATTAGATCCAAAGCTCACTTGGAAAGCGCATATAAACATTGTCACTACAAAATTGAGTACTCATTGTTATATGATAAGAAATCTTAGAGAAACTGTATCATTTCACATATTAAAACTTCTCTATTATGGACTAGTGCAGTCAACCCTCCAATATGGTTTAATATTCTGGGTTGCTTCACCTCACTTCGATAGAGCTTTTGTAGCTCAGAAGAAAGTCTTGAGAGCTATGTATAATGTATCACCAATAACATCATCTAAACCACTTTTTAAAAAATAAGAGATTCTGACGTTACCTCTAGTCTTTTCATTTTTCACTTGATACTGTATGTCAAAGGAAATGAGGAAGCTTTTGACAAAGATGAAGATATACATTCATATAACACAAGACAAAAATCAAACATCCATCAACCATTCTCACGGCTACACATAGGTCAGCAGTCACCAAAGCACATTGGAATTAAGTGTTTCAATAAGATCAATAACATAATGATGAATGTAAACTCAAATAATGTACGAAACTTCAAGCAGAAGGTCCACTCATTTCTAACTTCTAATGCATTTTATAGTGTTGCGGAATTACTCAAATTTAAAAAAAAAATCTGTGTGTACCTATTAATATTAATTATTGTCCTATATAATAATGTTTCTTTTGGATATAATTATTATTCTATAGCATGTCATTGTCCGTTGTTTGTCCATTTTGTTTTTTGTGAACTGACTAGTCTGATAGGATGGTGCATTGTACTATATCTTTGTCATAATTATGTGTAATGTATAGTCCTCATAGATGAATAAAATTCTTTCTTTCTTTCTTTTCAGATGGTAACATTCTTATAATTGCCATTCAGAAGATGAAGTTAAAATCAGGCCTTATGAAGAGATGCTGAATGAAAGACTTAAGAAAGGCGCATTACTGCCTTGGAATGCGTATTGAACGTGACAGAGAGAAAATCTTGATAACTTTAGACCAAGAAAAATATATAGAGGAAGTATTGGCACGATTCAATATGAGTGATTGTAATGGGGTTCAGACTCCACTTGAGCCAAACCAGACTCTTTCCAAGGAAATGCAACCAAGAGATGAAAAAGAAAAGCAAGAAATGTCTACAGTCCCATGTATGCAGCCCACTGCACTAGACCAGACATTGCATTCGTCATAGGAAAGCTAGCTAGATTTAGTAGCAATCCCGGAAAAGTTCACTGCACCGCTGTGAAGCGTATTATGAGGTACTTGAAGAAGACCTCTACATTGAAATTGAGCTTCTGGGGATAAAATCAAAACTTCATGGTTATTGCAATTCCGATTGGGCTGGAGATTCCGAAGACCGAAAGTCTACAGCCGGTTACGTATTTGTACTCTCAGGAGCAGCAGTAAGTTGGAGTCCATATACATGGCCTTATATAACTCCGTATAACTCTAGCCACCCAAGAAGCTATATTCGTCAAAAACTTGTTGACTGAGGTTCGTCCAGAGGGTTCCAACACAATCACAATTTTTTGTGATAATAAGGGCGCAGTGGCCCTAGCAAAAATGCGGGATATGGACAATCACAATTTTTTGTGATTAAAAGGACGCAGTGTACCTACCTCAGCAAAAATGCGGGATATGTACCACAAAGCAAGCATGTAGATATCGAGCATCACTTCATTCATGAAAGGCAAAAGCTAGGAGACATCAAGGTGGAAATAATCGGCACCAAAGATAGCTTGCAGATTGTTCAACCAAGGGACTTGTTGAGAAGAAATTGTTTTCCAATTGTAATAAATTAGGATTGAAGTAATGTTACATTAACTGGGGGTCTTGGAGAAATCAATTATGTAATATGTACTGTATATAAATCAAAAGGTTTAATTTGAGTTGCTAATAAATAACGTACAGCTGTATGAGCTGTATTCAGAAAAAAAGAGTACAAGTATATTACAGAGAGAAATTAACGTCATTCTATTTGCATAAAATGGGCTATCGGGAATGATTGTTTACCAAATGTTGACAGTAAAGTTATCAAAGGTTCTCAAAAACACAAAGCAACAAAGTATTGACTGAGCCAGTTTCACAGAAGTAAACCTCTCTTTTCAACACTTGTACACTTTTTTTATTGAATATGACCCAAGTTGTACTTTTCGTATCAGAAAATATATTTGAGATATATGTCCATAATATTAGCAATCCTCACACACTCTGCTAATAGGATGTCATTTTGTATTTGATTCTTGTAACTTTTTTCGATTTTGTACCAACATAGTTTAATAGGGTTTAATCTGGTTTAATAGATAAAGCTGATTTTCATCAAATGGTTAGAATTATTATAATATGTTGGGATAAGAAAAGGATCTGATAGTTGTTACCTAATATAGACTCTATAATTATATTGATAATGATTTTTTACCAGGCTTTATACTGATACTGTATAAGACGAGGTATAAGATATAGAAAACCAAGAAAAAAAAAATTGTCTGGAGGCCACCAGTTTCAAAGCCATTTACTGAAAGATGATGATTATTTGACTACAGCTAGCAAATCTATTGAAAAATCTGAGATAAGTGCACAATGGCACATTTTGATTTTGAGTTTTTTATACCCAAAAGATATACTGACAACTTTCCTCAAATTAGATATCCACCTTGATATATCCACATTCAAAAAATTATTTCCAAAATCTTTGATTGTTTGTATGAAATGAGATAAGATATTTCAAGATTGAATTATTATTGAAAAAAGTAGGGATCGACGGATATAGAAATTTTAGCTGATACTGATAATCGGTCGATACTGATATTTCAGATACCCATATTTCAAATAACAAGTTTTCTCTGAAGCTGGTAATATTTATGATGCAAAACGTAGCAGGCTAACTCCTGATAGGGCAGAAAGCTTATTGTTTTTGCATCACAACCTACCAAAACTAAATTATCAGTATTAATCAGTTATTTTTGTATTTTAGTATGGTGAAATAATTTTACCTTACAGTTGCAATCCACATAGGGTTTTATTATATTAATTTTTAATTACAAGTCAAAGAATTTAGTTGATTTTACCTTACATACTTTTTATTGGTAATAAAGATAATAATAATAATAATAAATGTTCTTTATTGGTTAAAACCAAATGGCCATCGACCGAGGTCCTTCAGCCGGTAACAATTTTCACATATAATTTTTTTTAATATCAATGCAAATTTTTTAGGTCATGGAAGAAAGTGAAACTTTATGAAAAAAAAAAAAAAAAAAAAAAGATATCTTGGATAATAAAGATATATTTTTGATGGAAGTGTATTTTTTTCATTCACTTTTCAAATTGATTTTTTTTTCCCAATAAAAAAATATATCAGTCTATGGATCTATGGGTTTTTGATATCGGCCGATACGATAATCGGCCAATGAGGCCCATATCACCAATAGGGGGATATAAAATATCAGTATCGGTCGATCCCTAGAAAAAAGGAAGTGTATAGACTGCCAACCAGTCGGCAATCTTTCCTTTTTTTTTAGGCTGCTGACCAGTCAGCAGGCTATACTCTTTATTTAGGATGCCAACCAGTAGACTGCTTACCATTACTGAAGTAAACTATTTCCAAATCATCAAAAAAAAGAGAGATATATTTACACAAACACACTAACCTATTGGTGGAACAGAAACCTGATTTAAAGAACTTTTAAACAAATATACAAAATATCGCAATATATAAAAAGAAATAGACTAGAAAGAGATGTATGCTCAATCCAAAACCGACTAAGTAATGGATTTGCCTCTGGATTTGCTGACCATTCAGCAGACTATACTCTTTGTTCAAGATGAGGACCAGTAGACTGCTGACCATTACTGAATTATACAGTTTTCAAGAAATCATCTATTTCAAGGGAGAAGAAAAATTAATTGAAAAAACAATTCTAAAAAAATTAAATATACTTACACAAACACACTAACCTATTGACAGAATGAAAACCTGATAAACTGGAGGAAGGAAAAACTAGATACAAAAAAGTGAGTGATGTATACTCAACCACTCAACCCAAACAGACTAACAGATTAGTGGAACAAAAATCTGATGAAAAAAAAAGCCTGAAAAAATGAATTTAATAAACTATTCCATGTGGGATTTGAACAGGGGTCCACAGGCAAGCCAATGTCTATCCAATGAGCTACTAACCACCTTTGTTTTTGTTATACAGAAAGAATGTATTCCACTGAATGGTCAGCAGTCTAGTGAAAAAATATAGTATGCTGACTGCTCAGCAGCCTAAACACCTTGAAAAAAAGTATATACTGTGGACCAGTCAGCATACTTTTTTTTGGGTTGCTGACTGATTTTATACAGAAAAAATGTATTTCCCTGAATGCTCAGCAGTCTAGATAGGGTTGCCATCCGTCCGGATTTCCCCGGACATGTCCGGGTTTTAGAGGCGTCCGGGGACGTCCGGGCGGGTTTTGGAAAATTGTCCGGATTTTCGTCAGTTCAAACCACTGACATAAACTATTATCATGTCAGTGAAAGTTTGCTCAAAAATTGAAAATTTGTAGATTTGGTATTATTTATGTGACTTACATAGTTTCAAACTCTTGATTGGTTTATTTTTTGTTTAAAAATGTTTTTGAGTTTTTATTCGATTTGTGCAACAAAAAATATGTAGGTAATATACCGAATTATAGTGATATCTAGATTGATATTCACCATTCACCTTTGAACTCATTCATATGTATATGAAAATGGAATTACAAAAAATGATGCCGAGTTTTCAAAATTCCCACTGTCCGGATTTTGTCCGGATTTTCAAGTAGCCTTGTCCTGGTTTCCACATTTTAGAGATGGCAACCCTAGTCTAGAGGAAAAGTTTAGTTTGCTGACTGGTAGGCAGTCTATACATTTTGTTTAAAAAAATACTCACACTATATGATACTTCTGCATTAGCAAGTTTCTGTTTGGTCTCTGCAAGTTCCTCAAAATAAACCATTAGGGAATCCAATGTTTCACTGCAAATTCTTTCATAGAGAACTGTTTCCAGCGAGGTTTCCAGGTTATCTTCAGTGGCATCAGTATTATGATTGTGTTTATCTGAGTATTCATTAATTGTCAAATAAAAGGGTTGTCTCTGTAAATAGTTATTACAGATGACCTGTCTAATGCACTGTTTCAATGAAACTTTGGTTGATGTGGTTTGAATATATTTCACATTTATCATCTTGGGAATGGATAATCTGCTAATGAACAGTATACCCATTGGTCTTGACCACAACATATTCATCATACAAAGTCCCTGCTGTAGATCACAAATGCTCCCTTGAATGCACTCCACGGAGCAACCTAGGAATTCTTAAAGTAATCCAAATTTAAGTCACCATGAGATGGGGAAATGAACCAAAGATGCTGATTTTCTAATGTTAGGACATCTCAATATTCATAATCCTCTCAACAAAATTATATTTTACACAAAGATCGAGAATTCATGTTCACTAGGGACAGTGTCTCGCTTTTATCAAATTCTAAATTCATAATAATTCAATATTTCAAAATCCATAGTGTGTGTTGTTTACATCTTAAAAGTCATGTCATTGACATTGACTCATTGCACATGAGCTGAGCTGTGTGAAGATGGCAGCCAAAGATAGCAGCCAAAATCTCCGAACATTGCCGAAGACCCAGTGGCGAACAACATGTTTTTTTTATACCTTCAAATACAAAACAATAATGGGTATTATAATTATAAAAATTCATCATACTCAATGAACTAATTGACGATTCGACCGTGTGTTGGTCGGATTGGAATAACCCCGCGGTAAATCCTGCCTGTCGTAGAAGGCGACTAAAAGGACGCCAATAGGTGGAAGATGATTAACGCCATCGCCCGGTGCGATACCACTACATCAACGATAGGCACTGTGAAATGGGTATACTTACCCGTGTTTCAGTAGCTGGTTGATGTTCTGGCCAACCCAACCCAATTTCCTTTTCCTTCCACGCCAACCTCCCTCTCTATACAGAATAAGCGATGATGAGTTCTCAAGTAAAATTATCCGGAAGTAAAATACCTCTCCATTCGGATTTCCGGGCGAGAGGTGCTAGAGGGGGTTCACCATCGACTGAAAAAGTCCTCAAGATAGACCTATGTAAACATCCGAGGTCTAAGTAAGAACATCAACGATGTCCATTTTACTTGGTTCTTTGGGATTTTCTCTCCTCGTTTCTATAAAATAAAAGTATTCGTATTATTTCAATATATTTGTAGAGGGACAAATCAGATGATTTGCCCCAAAATGTCACTGCGTTTAACAAATTTTTCTATCAGGGAGTCTAAAAGAAAAATCCAGTAGCTTGTCAGTGACAATTTGTTTGAAAAAATTTTTGAAGGAAAGAAATATAGATATATTGAAAAAATATCGAATTTGTACTTATCTTTGGACGTTTCGGGACCGATTCTGCTCCCGTTCTCAACATGTAAATGCAAATTATTTTTCTTTGAAAGTTGTGCTGCGTATATAGTTTGACACTTTTCAGTGTCATACTGATGTTGGCATATGAATGGGTGATTTTAGTCTACAAATGAGTTACAGGATGTTTTCATTAATTGATCTTGAATCTACCATTTTGTGGAAAGTATTATACAGGTGAAACGAAGAGACCTCTCCCAGTAAGGACAAAAGAACACAAGTACAATATCAAGAAAAGACATATCGATAAATCGAAGCTAACTGAACATATCCTCACTGAAGATGGACAACATATGGCACAGTGGAATAATATCAAAATCATAGGAAAGGAAGATAACAAACAAAAAAGAAAAATAAAGGAATCCGCTTGCATTCTTCTAAACGGAGACAATAGCATTGCTTCCTGTTCAGTTGATATTGATAGAACATGGTATTCACTACTGAAAACTGAACATGAAAATGGTAGATTCAGGATCAATTAATGAAAACATCCTGTAACTCATTTGTAGACTAAAATCACCCATTCATATGCCAACATCAGTATGACACTGAAAAGTGTCAAACTATATACGCAGCACAACTTTCAAAGAAAAATAATTTGCATTTACATGTTGAGAACGGGAGCAGAATCGGTCCCGAAACGTCCAAAGATAAGTACAAATTCGATATTTTTTCAATATATCTATATTTCTTTCCTTCAAAAATTTTTTCAAACAAATTGTCACTGACAAGCTACTGGATTTTTCTTTTAGACTCCCTGATAGAAAAATTTGTTAAACGCAGTGACATTTTGGGGCAAATCATCTGATTTGTCCCTCTACAAATATATTGAAATAATACGAATACTTTTATTTTATAGAAACGAGGAGAGAAAATCCCAAAGAACCAAGTAAAATGAAAGTACCACCTCCTAGATTAAAATACAGACAGTATCAACGATGTCCATCGACACCTTCAAATTGAAAAGGCAGACATATTGGTTCTTACTGAGACACAGGTCAATTCATCCACCAATACGACCTATCCGTTTCAGATTCAAGGGAGGTCTCTGCCTCTACTCTAAAACGAATCTCTCATGTCAACGAGAAAAAACTCTGGAACCAAATAAGTTTGATGTCATGTGGTTCAAGCTCGATAGCCAGAAACATACCAAATACCTTTGTTGTCTCTACTTATCACCAAATGATCCATCCTATAAGGAGCTCTTCGAATTCTTGTCTCTGAAGCTTGGCCAAATTCAACACAACAATCCAGCAGCAGAAATCATCATAATGAGCGATTTCAATGTACACAACACTGCTTGGCTCGTACACTCCAACAGAACGGATGAAGCTGGGCGACAAGCCGGAGCTTTTGCCATCACTCACGGCTTAGAGCAGCTTATCAAAGAACCCACACGAATTCTTGATGCCAATAACCATTCAGCTAACATACTTGACTTATTCCTCACTAATAATTCAGCACCCTACACCATAGATGTACGAGCTCCACTTGGCAATTCAAACCACACACTAATCTCCACAACCTGCCCATTTTTCATTCTATCAACTGCTCCGGCACCCCCACGTCTTATATGGCATTACAATTCAGGAGATTGGGACGGCCTCCGCATGTTTTTCTCCGATTTTCCTTGGCATAGGGTATGCTTTGACTCTGAGGACCCTTCACAGTGTGCTGCGGAAATATCCAAAATCATCATGCTCGGAATGGACACATACATACCTCATCCTTCGAAGAGTTCATCACCATCGAAACCCTGGTTCAACAAAAACTGTTCTAGAACTGATGCCTTGAAACAAACAGCCTACCATCGCTGGCGCAAAAACCCTAACCTCGCGACTAGAGCAGAATACGTTGATGCCAGAAATGACTGCAGCCAAACAATAGATGCTTCGAAAGAAACATACAATGCCAAGATATGATCAAAACTCATAGATTGTCCCAATGGCTCCCGTTCGTTTTGGTCCCTTGCTGAAGCAGTCGGAAGAAATTTCACTAATAGTTCATTTCCACCACTGTCCTAATCCGACGGCACATTAGCAACAACATCGCAGGAGAAAGCAAATATTTTTGCAGAGATTTTCGCAGCAAACTCTACTTTAGATTCCCAAGGAAAAGTGCCGCCGGACATTCTACCTGTTGAGAGTCGAATGCCCGAAATCGTTTTCCGTCAACGCACTATCAGACGAATTTTGCTTGGTCTCAAAACGAATAAGGCTAATGGTCCTGATGGAATTCCAACCATTTTCCTCAGAAAATATGCACCAGAATAAACACCGATTCTCTGCAAGTTTTTTACCGTCTCGTACAGGTCGAGTATTCTTCCATCATGCTGGAAGACAGCTAGAGTCCAACCAATCCCCAATTAAGGAAACAAGAACCTGCCCAACAACTACAGGCCCATTGCCCTGTTATCAGTAATTTCCAAAGTGATGGAGAAAGCCATCATTATTGAGCTTATCAAGTAGGTATCTAGAGAGCTCAGGAATCATCAATGATAGACAATACGGCTTTCGCCACCGAAGATCTACTGGAGATCTACTTGCCTACGTCACCCATTTATGGCAAGCTTCATTAGAAAAACACGGGGAATCTCTAGCTGTCGCGTTGGACATATCGGAAGCATTTGACCGTGTTTGGCACGAAGGACTCCTCCACAAACTACCACCATACGGCTCACCACTTCAGCTATGCCATCTCTTATCGAGTTTTCTTTCAGGCAGATCGCTTCACGTGGTGAAATAGTCACTGTCACTTCACTGATCAGGGCACGAATAAGTAAAGTTTTTATGTCAATAAAAAACCGCCATATTTGAAATGACCAATCAGAATTTTGTGTCGAAGCTATAGCAAATGAGACTTTACCTTCGCATTACCCAATCAAATTTTGGATCAAAAAGCGAGGGCACGCGTCTCAGAAATATATCTTAATGAAAAGGCCTATTGTTGGAACAATTCGGAACTGAAAACAATGACAACAGAGGAAGAAATATGGAATATGCAATCACAAAAAAACCGTTTATTCGTAACTACAACTTTCTGGATTCATTACACAGGTCGGGTGAGTATCGGTATGAAAAACAACAGGAATTAAATGAAGCTATAAACAGGATGAATACTAATGGTGAAAAATATTATACCAACTTACATGTGCAACAGAAAATCACTATACATTGATACTTTACACTGACTTTGAATGAAATATGAGAGCACTAAGAGATCAGCAAGAGAATCCAGAGCTTGAAGAGCAGGTCGAGCAGGTAGTGCAGACTTGAAGAGAAGCGAAGAGACCGATCCCTCAGCTGTCTTCAGTATTTATTTTCCCCCTTGACCTCGATACAAGGACAGCTCGATCCTAGGTTCTTATTGGTCGGAATTCTCAACTATGGCTGCAGGAACTATTATTCACAAGCACATGTTTTCAAACTCACAAAAATGCGAAAAAAATTATATTGAACCCTAAATGGGCACAGGAACAGAATCTACTACCCTTGCTAATGCTACTGAATGAATTTGACTGGAAAATATCCAATAGCAAATAAGTTATGACCAGGTAAACATTCATCATTTCAACTGATAAATAATTCAATCAAATTTCATATCATAAGCAAAGGATTGGAAAATATTGCAGTCTTCAGGGTTGTAATGATGTTTATCAGAGTTAACTATCAGAAAAAGCTTTGGGAAGTCAGGAATCAATGCATTACTCAGCTCTCTCAGGTGTTCAGGTTTCGAGCTTTCGAAACAAGTGAATTTCAACTAGAATCAGGCTCAGGTACTCATATTGTGATCAAAACCAGTCTGCTAATGGAGCTGGTCAAAAACACTTTATTTACACATGTAACATCAAATTCTTACCGTAATTTGA